AAATAAATTATGCAATATGCATATACCTAGATTTATAATGATTTATACCTTAAAATGAGTTATTTAAAGCATAGGTAGCCAGATAGTTGTCTAAAAAGGCTTTATAGGTATATTGAATGTTTAAGCAATTTATAGTTTTATAAGGAACTATTGTGTGTTAATATAATGTTAGGGAATTTCAATTTTTTTAAATTAGCATTCTAGATATCACATTTCACAACTGTTATTGCTCAGGCACTCAGAAAATAATGGTGCAAATAGGAATGACTGCTACCTATTTACTATTCACCAATAATATTAAATTTTAAACTTTTTGGTAAGTGCTGCTATATTGAATCTATTATATTTTAACTTAAAAAAAAAATTAAGAAAAAAATATTAAATTTGTTTAAAGGTGTTTGAAATTATATTATCTACAAGATGAGATTTAATCAAAGAATGATAATTTTTCTTTGAACAAATTTCGTTATTTTATTGTTGGTAGGCAATAAATAATTAAATTGCGATTTAATGTATGTCTGAATAGGCCCCTTTGGACGYTCCTAAGCAATTTCAAAGTGTAATTACTGTTAATTATAATTTAATACTCTTAAAAATATTATGGCTATTTTTCGTAGCGTGATCAGAAAAACCACATTAAATGCTTAGTTGTTATGTCCTTCTGCGCCTAATGGGCTATAAAGTTGTGTATGGTTAGTGATTATCCAAATCCAAAAGATCATCATGGATAGGTAAGTACTGATATATTGCAATGGATATTTTWAATAGTAGATATACTAGGCAAAACAATTATCGCATATTAATCTGAATATTTTAGTCGCCTTGTGGATAAAATATTTAAAAATATATTATTATTATTAACCAAATATATCAAGTAAACTAATCTAAAATTTAAACAAATCATTATTTAATATTAGACAATCTTTAGATTCAATACCATAAAATATTATTTGTTGAATACCATAATATTTTGTTAAAATCCAAAAGTAAAATAAAAGTGTTCAGTATTCATGTTTAACAAACTATTAAGATAAATCATTTTTGATGTTKGTACGAATTAGTAACTAATTGTAATTCCAAGGTAAGAATTATGCAAACTGTTCATCCWCATATGGCGATATCACAAGAAAAAAAGTTAATTAATTATATAATAGACAATAGTATGAATTTACTGTATTTGAATGGATGAAGTTAGRTACCTAAGGAAAAATACACTATAGATTTTATTCCAGCTATATTGATCCATGTCAATAAATATATTTTATTTAAAAACTGAWATTGAGTTTATTTGACGCCTGTCGATAAAGTATTTATAAGCCAAATTTATAGTGCAACAGTTGTTGATAAGTCACCATAATTTATGAATAACAAATGTATATTAGGTATATTGGTCTTATTAAGAAGCACATATATTTATAAATTTATAAATTATAATAAAACTTTTATTTATTCTATTAATTTTTGATTGTTCAATAAATTGAGTTCTCTATAATTTAAATCAAGTATTGTACCCAAATTAAATAAATAAAGTATATAATCAGTATGTATGTTCATAAAATCAAAAAAAAAATAATATAATAATTTTTTTTTCACAGCAATACTTCGCTTTTTAGCCACATATAAATTACTAATTAGATAAGAAATTAAAAAAAAACTTTCATGTATCATAACYGACTGCTCTTATAAATGTATCAAATATTCACTGCAAAAAATAGAAAATCTAATAAATAGGTATAATTTATGAAGTACTTACCTATTATTTTCTTGCCGTGAACAGTAATAAATAGCTATGTTTTAGGAATAATTAAATCATAAGTTTTGTTTTA